AGCAGTGCCTCCAGAGTTCTCTGGCCTCCCCAGTGGGGGAACACAGGCAGCAGCCCCGAACGTCAGTGTTCATCAAACATACACAGGCCAACGGCCACGCGTGGTGGAGACAAGGTCCCCGGACCCTGCAAGACGCCCCTGCTGAGGGGTGACACAGGGGGACACGGAGAGGGCCACGCCAGCACCACACCCAAGCCTGATGATCTCTGATGGAAAGAGCACACATCATCTCAAACTAACTCCCGGAGGCTCCAGACTCCTTTCCGATGGCACACGCATGTGTGGCTTCTCGGAATCGGGAGCGTGGTTCACCTGGTCCCCAGGGCAAGGAGGGCAGAGGAGGCCAGAGAGCACTGCGCCCCCCACCCCCAACCGGGAGCGGGTGAGGTCAGGCGGCTGGCGCGACAGCCACCATCCCCAAGTATGCTGGTGGCTACTAGGATCTGTTAGCACACAGGCCCACGGGGCAGCGGCTGTCCCCTCTAAGCTTGAAGGCTGGGGATGTCACAGGTGTGGGGTAGGATGAGTAAGCCACCCTCGTGCTGCCTTCCGCCACACCACAGGCCTCACACAGACTTCTCCTGGGGCTGGGCCTGAGCTCAGCAGAGGGACCTTGGGTGGACTTGGTGTGGGAAATGTGTGGTGAGGCTGCGAGGCCCAGGGCAGTGGGCACCAAGGACCCTTCCTCAGGGGCACGCAGCCTGTGCTCAGCCCACAGTGAAGCCGGTGAAGGCGTTCTGCCAAGTGTGCCCATTTCCTTGCTTCTTAGAACCAGGGCAGGCCACCGGTTCCAGAGAACACCAGCCTGGATGGAATCTGAGAAGCTGAGAGCCTGGTGGTGGGCTGACCTGGGCGGGGCTTGCTGGAAGAGCTGTGGGGTGTCCTGTCCTCCCTGAAGAAGGCCACCTGCTGCTTCTGCTGGCTGCCCAGACACTTCACCTGCCTCCCTTTGACTTCCCAAGAGAAAGCCCTTCTGGTGCACTCCATCTTCTCAGAGATCTTCCTGGTGAACCCTGGACCCCTGGAGGGGGGAGCCTATGGAGGATTGCTGACAAAAGCACCAACCGTGAGGCCCTGGTGTGCAGATGTGGCTGTGAGCCGCAGGGCGGGGCGCAGGCCCCGCATCCCGAGCACATGGAGCGAACGTCTGCACCAGTGAAAGGCGCCGGCACGGGGAGATGTGGCGTCAGCATCTGAGTGCCTTCCTCCTCTCTGTGTGCATTGTCCACGGCCACCCAGAACAACAACATGTCATAAAGACTCTTTCACGTCCACTCCCAAGGCTGCTCCCGGGCTCCAGCAGCCTGGCTGGCTTGGAAGTGCCGTGGATGGAACAGAGGAGCAGGAGGAACGGAGGGCGGGAGGAATGGGAGCGGTGGCTGCCGGCTCTCACGCCAGGAAGGGCTCACAGGCTTTCCGGGAACAAAGCGGTGGTCTCCGTGCCAGGCAGCCTCTGCCCGGCCCAGGGGCGGCTCCCAAGACTCAGGGCCCAGAGCTCAGCCTGCACCCTAGGGTCCCTGCACGCTTCTCAGAGCCACTGGCTGCCAGTGGGGAGCCAGGCGTGGTGTGCCGAGGAGGAGGGAGGAATGAGGCTGCCCGGGGTCAGGGGTCTCCAGCAGCCACCCCCTGCCTTGGCACGAGAGGCCTGCTCTGTCCCATACGTTTCCCACGGGCTTCTTTTAAACCGAGGGCAAGGAGTGGGATTTTTAAATAAAGTATGAGCTCATAAAAACTACAGAAAAGTGCATTAACGATTAGTGGACACACAACTGATTATGAACAATTAGTAATGAATCCAAAAAACAGTTCCTCTAACGGAGTCCTAGGACACACTGGAGAAAAACGCCACCGAGCCTTTTGTTTTTTGTCTTTTTCTATAACATGAGAATATTTTTGGCATCAATTTACCAGTTGAAAATATTGGGTAATATTTGCAAAGTGAAATTCCTAGAAGAAAATCCCCTAAATGTGAAACCAAATGTCGTCACTACAATTAACATTTTACGTTAGGTGATGTAGGCCCTATACAGAAACAGACCAAATGAAAGTCTCTTTCTGAAGAGTGATGAAGAAATTAATTTAATGAAAAATTAAATTTGTACTTTCTAAAGAGTAATGAAAAAATAAATTAGTGATTCTGTTGTTGCCATTGCTATTTTACACCCAGATTCTAACAAGCAAGTGGGCCGAATAGCGCGGCTCAGCTCTCACACCCTCTGCAGGGCCCCACGACCCTGACCGCCACCCTCAGGGAAGGACATCCCTGTGGCCCTCAGGAGCTGGCAGGGAGGGTAAGGAAGCTGCCACTGGCCCTGCCATCCAGAGCATACTGGGTACGTGGTGAGGGCAGCGCCCCGCTGGGTCTGTACAGGGCTTGTTCACACACAGGGTCCCAGTGATGACCGACATCTGCCCTCGGCGGCGGTGGAAGGACGGGGCTGTGAGCATCCTTCTATCCCCGCTGCTCTGTAGATGGTGCTGAGGGTCTGCAGGAGTCACTCTGAGCCAGGCTGTCTGGGGGTCTGTGGGAGTTACAGAGACGTCCCTGCCACCTGCCCTCTGCACACACCATGCCCGTAGCACGGCTGCGAGATGGGCCAACCCTGAATGGCGCGGGGCTTTGCAGGGCTGTGCTGACTGTGGCTGATGCAGGAACATCGCCAGGCTGAGGAATCGGCCACCACACACTTAAGTTTCTGGAAGCTCAGGCCTGCCTGTACACAGGGCTAGTGACGGCTGCACGGTCATCCCACTGGCCACGCCCCTGATGGGGGCTGCCAGTGGACATACGGACCTTTCGGCACCCATTGTGCCCATGGCTGAGGGATCGGGGGGCAGAGGGGCTCAAGGAGGCAGCCGGTAACCAGATGAAGTCAGAACTTGACCTGGAGCCTGGTTGGGGCCAGAGGGGTCTGTAGGGCTGTGGGGGGCCATGACCAGGTGTGACGTCACCTGGCTGATGGGTGCCCTTCCTCCCAGGACGCAGTGCACTGGAGAAGGAAGGAAACCTGGGCGCCAGGAATGTCTGAGGTCTGGGCCCAGGCTCATGCTGCCAGGCAGCCTGGCCTTGGCTGCTCTTGCTGGCCATAAATCCACTGAACGGGACACAGCCTTTGGCAGGCGCTGGGATCCTGCCCCACAGGCAGTGTTGGGGCCCTCCCTGGGGCCCATTTGAGCGGCGTTCTGGGAAGCCCGGCTCTCGGGTGTCTCCTGGTGATGTCAGCCTCTGTACAAGGATGGCTCCTTCTGGACGTCAGCGCCCCTCATGGCCGTTCCCCTGCAGCCCCAGCTGGCACCTGAGCCATGTACCTGTCAGTGATTGGCAACTGGTTTTTAAAAATGGCCACCAGCCTCCAAAAACACATCCATCACGATCACTGCCGGGGAGGTGACGGACGGCAGGTGTGGTGTGCGGTCGGGCCACGGGGAGACGGGCGTGCCTGGCACTGCTGTCATTCTTTGTCACCACAGCCAGCTGAGCGGCCCAGCTGCCAGTTGCCACCGCGCATGGCATGAAACACCCTCTGAACACCCCAGCAGCAGCCGGAGCCACAGGCTGCATCGTGGGAGGAAGCACGGCCCTCGTAGAAGGCACACGACCGACCGGCGTGTTTAATGTGCACAGGTTTTAATTACGGCTTCCGTGGTGCCAAATTTGATTACAGTATCATCTCTTCAGTTCTGCTCTGTGAGCATGTCTGCATTAATTTGGATCTGAAACACAGGAGGCTGGATTCCTGGAGGACGGAGTCTCTTTGCTTTGCACACAGAGCCTCTTTCACAGGCTGGTGTGGGGCGGGGCAGGACTCCAGGATCTGTCCCTGCAACCCTCCCGCCACAGGTCTCCACCTTGGGGTCTGACGGCCTCCAGGGCCACCAGGCAGGTGCGCCTCCCAGAAGCCCCGTCTCTGAACCCTGTATTTATTTATTTATTATTTATTTATTTATTTATTTATTTATTTTTGAGACGGAGTTTCGCTCTTGTTACCCAGGCTGGAGTGCAATGGCGTGATCTCGGCTCACCGCAGCCTCCGCCTCCCAGGTTCAGGCAATTCTCCTGCCTCAGCCTCCTGAGTCGCTGGGATTACAGGCACGCGCCACCATGCCCAGCTGATTTTTTGTATTTTTAGTAGAGACGGGGTTTCACCCTGTTGACCAGGATGGTCTCGATCTCTTGACCTCGTGATCCACCCGCCTCGGCCTCCCACAGTGCTGGGATTACAGGCTTGAGCCACCGCGCCCGGCCCCCTGTATTTATTTTTATTGTGCTTTCGGTTCTGGGGTACATGCACAGATCTTGCAGGATTGTTGCATAGGTACGTACATGCCATGGTGGTTTGCTGACAACCCTGTATTTAATCTGCTGTGACCTAGCCGGGCTCTGCCCGGCCCCCCATTGCCGTGGCAATGGATTTAATTAACCTCTGAGGAGTCTTTCCAGCAAGCCTGCCACTGAGGGCGCCAAGGAGGCGCTGTGAGCAGGCAGAGGAGCGGAGCACGGCCGGCAGTGATGCCACCAGCCCAGGACCGAGGGGGCACAGATGGGCTGCCATGGGTGGGAGCTCAGCAGTGAAACCAAGGCCAGGCCAGCTGTGGCTTCTGAGAGACCATTAACCCCACGTCTGCCTTTGTGCCAAGACTGCCCCGAGGCACCTGTGCCGCCAAGCACCGCCTGCCCCCAGCCTCCTGCATTCCCAGAACACTCCATCAGGCAAGACGCTCTGCACTGTGATAAACTCGGCTTCCTGACACGCTCAGACTACATGCGACTATCACTGTCCACACACCTTCAGAACCTCGTATCACGCTCTTCCATGCTCACTCTGACCCTGGGCAATCTGAAAACCACCCCAGAGGACGGCACAGATGTCCCCACAAAGCCGGGGGTGGAGGCTGGGTGTGGCCTTCGCCAGCTCCCAAGGAGCCGGACTGCAGGTGCTAACGTGGGCTCTGAGTGTGGCATCTCCACGTGGAAGACTGCGGAGGGTGGGGAGAACCAGCCCGCGTGGAGCCCACAGGGTCTCACTCCAACCCATGCTGCTGTTTGACAGAAAGGCTTGGGGGAAGGAAGGGCAGGTGCCTGAGATGCACGTGCTCCCGCGGGGCTGGGAGCTGATGGCACTTCTGAGCCCTGTGGGAGGAAGGCCCTGCCCACCTCTGTGCCGCCTCCTCTGAGGAGCTCATCCACCACACCGCTGTTCTGCCAGGATGGTGGGCAGAGCTGATCTCAAGGACTGTCACCCACCCTCCTAGGCCCCAAAACTTCGTCAGAGAACCCTGGAAGACACTCCTGCTGGCCTGTGACTCTAACACTCCCTGTCTTTAAAAGGCAGATGCTTCTAGGAAGGCAGCATCTGCGGTGGGAAATTGCTCCCAGGCAGGTGGAGAGGAACTGAAGAGAGGACCCGATGCCCCAGGCCCTCCTGGCACCCAAGGTCATGGTCTTGAGGGCAGGTGGTGTCCTGATCCTGGTGCCAGGCTCACAGAACAAATGCACAGGACACATTTGCTGGACAAATGAGACCGCCTGCAGGGCAGCCAGCGGCGAGATGCTCCCCACCAGAACCTCACCACCCACAGGCCTGTGTGAAAAAGAGCCTGCTCATCTGAGCAGCTGGAAGGGCAACTCTGTGAATCCACGCTGCACCTGGGCCTGGCTGAGCTGCTCCATGCTGTGATTCCTCTGATACTTTCCAGCTGCAAAGAGCTCAGAGGCTGCAGCAGCACAAGAAATGGAAGTGGTGCGAGGAAAACGAGGCACCGGACCACGGACCACGGGATTCCTCGTCCACTTTCATCTAAGAAAGGAGAAGCGCAGCCTCAGGGAGCACCCAGGTCACTGGAGCGGTGACGGCGGCCACCACCGGGTGTGGTCCTGCTGGGACGGGCCAGCCCAGAGGTGATGTCGGTCCCCGTACCTGCGTCACACGAGAGCACAGCTGGCATCCCAGGAGCACACAGGCAGCGATGCGTCACCGGAGGCTGCATGGGCAATTGGGTGGTGACGACCGAGCCTGAACCCCAGCCAGAGGCACATGCGCAGCCCCAGTTCCCCAGTTGCACAGAGCCTGGCGCCAGGCGGACACGAGAAGGAGACGCTGCCCGGCCCTGGGCCTGACTCACAGGTCCAGGAGAGCCCAGGATCTGTGTTCTAAGGAGCTCCCAGGCACCCGTCAGCTCTGCATCCAAGAGCTTAATGTGGAAGGAAACAGGGATGTGCCATAGGCCAAGTGGAGAGTGAGCTCGTTCACACGCAGAGGCCCGAGGCACCGGCTCGTTCACACACAGATGCCCGAGGCACCGGCTCGTTCACACGCAGAGGCCCGAGGCACCGGCTCGTTC